GCCACAATCTAAAATTAAGCAATATCTTTGTTCTCTACCTAGAATGTAAAAGTGTCTTAGAACACTTTGAGTTTACTTCTTCAGACAGACATTCTATTTTATTTTATTTCATTTTTTGTTTTTATTTATTTTGAGATAGAGAGAGAGATAGAGAGCATGGGCAGGAGAGGGGCAGAGAGAAAGTGAGAGAGAGAGAATGCCAAGCAGGCTCTGCACTGTCAGTGCAGAACCTGACACAGTGCTTAAACTCACAAACCATGAGATCATGACCTGAGCCAAAGTCAGATGTTAAACCAACTAAGCTACTCAGGTTACCCCACATGTTATGTTTTAATCTTGTATTTGACTTATATTTTTTTGATAACTAAAAAGTATTATTATATATTTTGTATGCAATCAATATTCATTTGTATCATATTTTGCTATTTATTTTTTATATCCCAGATATTCTATTTAGGTTACTTTTTTTTCTGTTTGAAGTATATCCTTTACAAATTTCTTTAGTGATATCTGCCTATGGCAAACTGTTGTTTTTGTTTTTGTTTCGTTTTGTTTTGTTTTTTTTAGCACCTCAGACTTTAATTGACTCTACAATTCTCATTTGGTAGTTGCTTTCTTTCAGGACATAGTCTGCTACGTTTATGGTTGCATTTGAGAAGTCCTCTGTCAGGCTTAATCCTCTGAAGGTAATCTTTCCTCTGTTGTCTGCTATTAAGATTTTTTTTTTTGTCTTCAGTATTTTTTCACTTAAACTTACTTTATGGACTGAATGTATTTATTTATTGTTTTTTCCAGTTTGGAACTTCTTGGACATATATATTCTCCACTAGTATCACTTTAATATTGCTCCTGCCTTGTTGTCTCACTCTGTTCATTCTGGGATTCCAACTACAATTATGTTAGACCTTCTCATGTGTTCTCTGTATATATATTAGTTTGTGTATTTTTTCTTCTTATGTTGCCTGTGGATATTTTCTTCTGATCTATCATCACATTCTAATGTGTACTGATTCTCTTTTCAGCTGTATCTAAGATAATCTGTACTTTGTTTAAGTTTATTTATTTTGAGAGGGGGGAAGGGCGAGAGAGAGGGAGAGAGAGAGAGAGAGAGAGAGAGAGAAACCCAAGCAGGATCCCCGCTGTCAGGCGGCTTGATCTCAGGAACCATGATATCAGGACCTGAGCAGAAATCAAAAGTTGGTGGGTTGCTTAACTAAGTCACCCAGGCACCCAAAGATCATCTGTTTTATCCACCATCATTTTGTCCTCAGTGAGAAGGTGAGTCCAAATAACATAGATCATCATTACTAGAGATTGAAAGTCTTCTGTTATATCTTTTAGTATGTTTCTTAGTTTATTATTTGGTTTATTCAGTTCAGGGACACAAGTTGTGTATAGTGCAAAATTCTTCTGTCTTCCACATGTCTCTTATCCATTTCTCTAGAATCCTTTCTACTTTATGTTCATTTCCATTTACTTTTTTTTTTTACTTTTCACTACTTTTATTTTCTTTTTATCTGCTTTCGGCTTTGACTTAATATTTTTTATTTTACCTATATTTTTGTTTTTTTACTCCACCAGATTCTATTTTATTTATTTAAATTTATTTATTATTTATTTAAATTTATTTATTGAAAGTTAAATTTATTAAATTTAAATTTATTTATTAAATTTATTTATTTAAACGTAAATTCAAATTAGTTAACATAAAGTGTAGTCCAGCCTTCAGGAGTAAAAACCAGCGATTCACCTCTTACACATGACACCCATGCTCATCCCAAAAAGTGACCTCCCTGATGCCCATCACCCACTTAACACATATCCCTGCCCACCTCCCCTCCAGCAGCCCTCAGTTTCTTCTCTATGTTTAAGAGTCTTTTCTGGTTCGCTTCCCTATCTGTTTTATCTTATTTTTCCTTCCCTTCCTCTATGTTCATCTGTTGTGTTTCTCAAATTCCACATATGAGTGAAATCATATGATATCAATATTTTCCAGACTAACTTATTTTGCTTAGCATAATACCTTCTAGTTCCATTCACATTGTTGTAAATGAAAATATTTCATTCTTTTTCATCACTGAGTAGTGATGAATACTCTCTATATAGAATAGTATTATAGTAGTATTATAGTAGTATTCTGTATATATAATATATATGTATATATTATATATATGGAAATACATAAATATATGTATTATATATATATAGTATTATATATAGTATTATATATATATATATATATGTATGTTATCCATTCATCAATTGATGGATATTTGGGGCTCTTTCCATAGTTTGGCTATTGTTGATAGCATAGCTATAAGCACTGGTGTGCATGTGCCCCTTCAAATCAGCATTTTTGTACCATTTGACTAAATACCTAGTAGTGCAATTGCTGGGTTGTAGGACTATTATTTTTAATTTTTTGAGGAACCTCTATACTGTTTTCCAGAGTGGCTGCACCACTTTGCATTCCCACCAACAATGCAAAAGTGTTCCCCTTTCTCTGCATCCTTGCCAACATTGTTTCCCGAGTTCCCGACTTGTTCATTTTAGCCATTCTGACAGGTGTGCATTCTCATTGTGGTTTTTGTATTTTCCTGATGATGAGTGATGTTGAGCATCTTTTCATGTGTCTGTTAGCCATCTGGATGTCTTTGGAAAAGTCTGTATTGTCTTCTACCCATTTCTTCACTGGATTATTTGTTTTTTTGTGTGTGTTGAGTTTGGTAAGTTCTTTATAGATTTTGGATACTAACCCTTTATTCGATATGTTATGTGCAAATATCTTCTCCCATTTTGTTGGTTGCCTTTCAGTTTTGTTGATTGTTTCCTTCACTGTGCAGAAGCTTTTTAGATTGATGAAGTCCAAATAGTTCATTTTTGCTTTTATTTCCTTTGTCTTCTGAGACATATCAAGTAAGAAGTTGCTGTGACCAAGGTCAAAGAAGTTGCTACTTGTCTTCTGTAGGATTTTGATATTTTCCTGTCTCACGTTCAGGCCTTTAATTCATTTTGAAATATTTTGTGTATGGTATACGAAAGTGGCCCAGATTCATTCTGCATTTCGCTGTCCTTTTTTCCTAGAACCATTTGCTGAAAATACTATCTTTATTCCATTGTATACTCCTTCCTGCTTTGTAAAATATTAATTGACCATATATTTGTGGGTCCATTTCTGGGTTCTCTATTCTATTCCATTGATCTATGTGTCTCTTTTTGTGCCAGTACCATACTGTCTTAATGATTACAGCTTTGTAATACAGTTTAAAGTCTGGAATTGTGATGCCTCCAGGTTTGGTTTTCTTTTTGTTTTTGTTTTTCTTTTTCTTTTATTTTACAAATTTTTAAACTTTTATTTATTAACGTTATTACATTATGGTGTTTATTTAACTACCCAGGTGTCTCTGGTTTTCTTTTTCAACATTACTTTGGCTATTCAGGGGTCTTTCGTAGTTCCATACAAATTTTAGGATTGTTTGTTCTAGGTCTGTGAAGAATACTGGTATTATTTTGATATGGATTGCATTGAATGTGTAGATTGTTTTGGGTAGTATCAATATCTTAGCAATATTTTTTCTTCTAATCCATGAGCATGGAATGTTTGCCCATTTCTTTGAGTCTTCTTCAATTTCTTCCATAAACTTTCTATAGTTTTCAGCATACAGATCTTTTACCTTTTTGGTTAGGTTTATTCCTAGGTATTTTATGGGTTTTGGTGCAATTGTAAATGGGATTGATTCCTTGATATCTCTTGCTGCTGCTTCATTAGTGGTGTATAGAAATGCAGGCAATTTCTGTGCATTGGTTTTATATCTTGCAACTTTGCTGAATTCATGTGTCATCTCTAGCAATTTTTTGGTGAAATCTTTCAGGTATTCCATATAGACTATCATGTCATCTGCGAAGAGTTTTACTTATTCCTTGCTGATTTGGATGCCTTTTTTCTTTTTGTTGTCTGATTGCTGAGGCTAGGACTTCCAATACTATGTCGAACAACAGTGGTGAAAGTAGACATCCCTGTTGTGTTTCTGACCTTAGGGGGAAAGCTCTCAGTTTTTCCCCATTGAGTATGATATTAGCTGTGGGCCTCTCATATATGGCTTTTATGATGTTAAGCTATGTTCCTTCTGTCGCTACTTTCTTGAGGGTTTTTATCAAGAAAGGATGCTGTATTTTGTCAAATGCTTTTTCTGCATCTATTTAAAGGCACCAGGTTAATATTTTAGCTTCTTATGTTTTCTTATTCTGTCTTCCTTGAGCACTTTTAGTTGTGTTTAATGCCTGAGTTTATAGAGGTAACTGTTTCATTGAGATTCTTAACTTCACAGCAATATTTTTGGGCCACAATTTTGACTGTCTCATGGCAAGTGTTTGATGTTTATCTTTTGTAATTTTTTTCCTTTTTTTCTCCTTGTTTTTATGGTAATTAAAAAACGTATTCTGTTCTTATTCCTTTTTTATTATTACTCTTTAGTTAAGATCAGTTTTTATTGGTTCAAAAACTTAAGTGACGTTCTATGAGATAGAGTACATCACTGTATCTCAGGCTAACAATCTTAATGACACATTGTTTTATGTAGGGATGAATTCTTTTCTTTACCTACCTCCTTTTTCCCATTTTTGGCTGACCAAGGGAAGCAGTTGAAATCTGCTCTCAGATGCCTCACAAGCAGACTTCTTTCCACTAATAGTTTTTATCTGTGATTCTGCGATAATTGCTTTCTTTCAAGCTTCTGATACATTTTGTTATGCAAAGTGTACTCCTTTTGCCAGCTCATGTGCCCCATTTTGTAATTAAAAATAAAAAAACTTTTGATATTTCACTATAGGATATGCTTTCTATTTGGGAGAAATTTGTGCTGGCACCCTTTCCTAAAATCATCAACAAAAAGCATCTTCTTTCTTCATTTGTTTAATACATGATAGAACTTCAGTACTTTGGCACTCGTTCTTTTTAATTTATATTTTGAAGTTTCAGATGTCTGCTAGGTTCATGGAAGATGTTGTTTGTGTTTCCATTTCTCATTCTTCATTTTGGTTTTGAGGATATCCAAGAGGAGAATATCAAATGCACCAATAGCACAGTACCACTTTAATACCAGAAATCAGTCTTCCCTCTTTAATACAAATGGCATTTGTGTAGTAAAAGTTTCCAATGAAAAAGTAATTAAACTACCAAAAAGGAAGAAAATGGAAGCCAGGTAATATGGATTTAATTCAGGAAACAGAATATAATATAAAAATTCTTATTAATATTCATAAATATACGGATAATATTATTTATACATGAGACAAGAGTAAGATATTAAGAAAAAGGGATACTCAGAGAACCAAAAGAAACCTTTGAAATAATTTTATCATTTATTGTGTTGACCATTTGAGGGGCATTTTCAATCTAGAGATACATATCCTTCAGTTAAAGGAAGTTTTCATGTTAGTTATTTGTAATTTCCTTTCCTCTGTGTTCTTTGTCCTCTTTTCATAACTTTTATTAGTAAGTTGTTGGGCATCCTAAATTGATCTTATAAGATATTTAAGTTGTCTCATATTTTATATCCTGTTGACTTTTACTATTTATAGGAAATTTCCTCAATTTTACCTCCAACTCATTTTTAACTTTTTATTTAAAGTTTTTATCTTGTATTCAATTTTTCTGATATTCTTTTTACATCTTCTCAGGCTTGGTATTTGCTTTTGTTTGTTTTTAGAGGAATAAACCCATTATGGTCATGGAATTCTGGGTTGGCTGGTTTGACACATGGGGAGGTAAACATATAATTAAAAATGCTGAAGGTAAGTGTTTTGCAGTGTTTGACCCCAAGTAGAGGTGGCCCTGAGTCATGGATCATTCACACATTTCTTTGCTAATTAATTAGCTCATTCAACCACAAATATTATTCAATACCTATTAGGTACAGGGATTTGGGTAGGCTTGAGGGTGCATTGATGAACAAAAATGACCTGGTTCCTACCCTCAGGGTAGAGATGAAAAATAATTAAGAGTTTAGTATAATTGACAGTTAAGAAATGATCAAGAGTTCCATATATGAAAAGTGCTTTGAAGCAAACAAACAGGTGCAGTGATAGAAAAGACAGGGACAGGCCTGCAGATGTAAGGCGAGGTGGTCATGGAAAGGGTCTTGGAAAGATAACATCTATGAAGAAGGGGATTCATTTGCTAAAAGTCTTAATCATCTCTGGTAAATGCACAGGCCATTGCCATGGTGTTGTCAACTACATGGTAGTAATTATCAGAAGACAATATGCGATGACAGTTGAAAGCATGGATCCTGGAACCAAAGAGATAAGGATTTCAGTCTTAACTCTGCTAGTCTGCATAACTAGCTGTGTGACCCAAGGCAGCTTTCCTTGTCTGCTAAGTCTCAGTGCCCTCACCTGAAACAGGAATTATCAATTAACCTACCTCATAGGCTTGTTGTGAGGATTTAATTAGATAAACCACTCAGAACAGTGCCTGGCAGATGTTGTTGACTTAATAAAAATATTTTGCTATTAAAGATATTTTGCTGTTGATATTAAAACAAGCTCACTTGTACCAGAAGTAAAGCAAACCAACAAAAAATACCAGGTAACTGAGGAAAGCCCACTTGGACCGAAACAAAACAAAACAAAACAAAAAAACCCACCACCACCACCAAAGTTTTCTGATCACTTTCATGTCAGGCACTATGCCATGTTTCTTGTATATTCTGTCATCAATACTATGAGGTAGTAGGAATTAGGACCTTCATTTAGGAGATAAAGAAGGAGGCTCTGAGAGAAAAATAGGCTGTCCAATTCATGCAAATATTAAAAAGCACAGCCAGGATTGAATTCCACATGTTCCCCATGATGGCCAGTAGAAAGATGATCATACCTTTTAAATCATGGTGACAAAATAAGAGTTTCTGTGGCTAAATATTGGGAATAGCCACTTGTGGACTATTGCAGTGGTTTTAAATGAGTGTCTCAAGAGATAGTAATCCTGGAATGGAGTAATGAGGTTATATTAATTTATTTGTACAATTTCAAAAAATTTAATGAACATTAGATACTTAAGTGACATAAAGGTTCTTGGGCCATTATTAAATATATACAACATACAGCCAAATTATGTACATACTCTGAGAAAAATAATTTTTTAAAAGTCTTTTGGTATTGATAAGACTTGGTTTCCTGGAATAGTTGTGGTCAATTCCACCTATTTTCTGGTTAGAATCTTGGCGGAGGTTGGAGAACAAAATAATTAAGTTGATTATGTGGGGGAGGGGTTTGAGAATGATAAGATTTTATCAGAGACTTCTGTCTTAATTTTTAATTTTCTCTGTGTTCTTATCTTCCTCCTTTACAGATGTTGAGGATACTGTGTCCAAATTTATCACATCTGAAATCTCCTTCAATGTATATATGTTCCATGGTGGAACCAACTTCGGTTTCATGAATGGGGCCACATATTTTGGGAAACACAGAGGTGTTGTCACTAGTTATGGCAAGTGCTCACTGGTATGGTCACCTCTTGGCATAGTGGTACTGGAGCTCTACAGAGGAGGTTCCAAAAGCATGCCCTGAGCATCAATGAATTCTTGACCTATAATTTATGCTGAGCATTCAGGATTTTCCTGTCTAATTTCCTTTCTTTTGTGATGTTCATAATGCCCCCAACAGGCTGTAATTGAGTAGATGCGGTGCCTCAGACCTAGAGCCCTGCTTCACTCATCATATATACTGATCCCTTGAGTTGAACCTTCTAAGACACACAGAATACAAATAGTGACTGCTGTGTGGTCACTGATAGACACACCAAGGCAATCCAGATTGAGGGAAGAAGGGAGTGTCCATTAGAAAGTAAAACAGAAAGATGAGTCCAGTGTCTTGGCAGCCTCAGATCCTCAGGAAGTGTTGTGTGGAATGCTCCCAAAGTGGCATTACTTGCACCCTCCCACCCCACCACAGCCTGGGATGGACTGGTCCAGGGGGTGGGGAAGATGTATCCTCTGTCTCCCTCTGGTAGTCCTGACCTGTCTCATGACAGAAGTGCTGAAACAGGGTCTATTATGGAGGGTCTCCTGCCAATGACAATATCCCGGTGTCTTGCAGACTATGATGCTGTGCTGACAGAGGCTGGGGATTACACAGAAAAATATTTCAAGCTTCGAAAACTCTTTGGATCTGTTGTAGGTACTCAGAAACATTTTTAACTTGAGGGAGGGTTCTCCTGATGAAGTGGAAGGGTAAGGCAAGGGAAGGTTCCCTCATGGGCAGAAACTTGGAGACTTAAGACCTATGGCAAACTTAAGTTCAAATCCCAGTTTTCCCACTTAAAAGATAAGTGGCTTTGCATGAGTATTTTAAGCCCATAAACCTGTTTCCTCATTGAAACATAAAGACAATGATATTTGACTCCTATAGTGACTGTGAAAATTAAGTTACTATTTGTAGAGCTCTTAATATGATGACATAGTACCCTCACATACAATAGCAAAAGTTATCTTACTTCATTTTACTTGTTTAAATAAAGTCAATCATCTACTATGTTCTAGAAAGTAAGTGAGCACTGGCATTGCCAGAAGGCATAAGGTACAGTTCTTGTTCCCTGAGAGCCTTTAGTCTATATGATCAACATTACCCTGTAGAGGTGTGTGTCTATCAGCTATCTGTGCATACAAAAGAGTTCCAACTGTTATTTACAGTTTCTCATCACTCTTGGAGAAGTATCGCATATGCTAGGCTAGGACCCATTTCTCTTGTTGGCTCTGGGGTACAAGAGTTCTTGGGTAGGGCTGAGGAAGTTTGGAGAAGGCAGTAGTTATTTCAGGCACTTCTTGCCCCATGACTCATTTTCATTTCAGCAGTGCATCTGCCCCCTTTATCCAAGCTCTCTCCCAAGGCTGAGTATCCCGCTGTGAAACCATCCCTTTATTTGCCACTGTGGGATGTTCTACAGTACTTAAATAAGGTGAGTACTGCCTGGCACTAGAATGGAGGAGTGACCATTGGGGGCATGGGGACAAGGCCTTAGGCCACAGAGTAGAGAATCCTTTAAGAACTTCTTATTGGGAAGGGTGAAAATAAATCCTTTGGATGCCCATATTTAGAATTATGGGGTAAGAACCATAAACTTTCTGGGTAGACTGTGAAGAAGCTTCAACCTGAAGAATGAATGAGGGTGGGGGAGAGGCAAGATATTGGAGGATCCTCTTTGCCAGCTCAGATGAACCCATCTGATAGATGCTCTTGTGTGGGACTACATGATCCCTATGGCAAAGACTAAGAGCCAGGAACCCATGACACCGAGTTTGACTCTACAATCAAATAGGCCAAATCACTGAACTTTTATGGGTTCATACTCTCCCTTTAAAATTATATTACTTGGACTATTTTGAAGAAAAGGTTAAAATTATTTGAAAAATTTTAACTCTTGAATTCATATTAGTTTCACCTCTGCTATCACTGTTTTAGATAAAAAGTCATGATCGGCACGTTGTAGATGCTAACTAAATGTTTGCTTTAGTGCATAATTCTTTACTTAGTTTATGTTGAAATACAACTTATTCACTCCATTAATGGCATGATTGCAGTAATTTTTCCCTCTACCATGCTCCCACCATCCCTTGAGTTTTTCAGACAGTGAAGACGTGGAGATGATGCAAAAGAGCATTATCACATTGCATTGGTTTTAGTATTTCTCATCCAAATATCTGTTGGGGACAATTAAGAGGTACAACAAAAAATGACAAGAGCCTGTGGAAGAAGGATCCCAACTTCTCATCATCCTGGTTCCTGTTTCTGCAATGCTTCTCTCACAGCCTGTTACATCTCATACACCAGTCAACATGGAGAGCCTCCCTATAAACAATGGGAATGGCCAGTCCTATGGATTAGTGCTTTATGAGACTTTTATCTGCTGTGGAGGTTCTCTCCATGCTAATGTTCAAGATACAGCACAGGTAGGGGTCAGCAGGCTGTCTATGGAGGTAAGCAGAACATTTAGCCTGACTTATTGGGAAGGATTGTCAATGGTCACTTTACTGTTAGATAATATTTTCAAGCACCTACTATCTGTGAGGCACTGGGAATATAAAGTCAAACCAAAGAAACTTGCTTTCTGCTTTATCACAAATTAAGTGTATGAAATCCTCCTGGTTAGCTTCTATCCATCTGTGATCACCAAGGCCAGTCCCTTACTTCATAATGATCTGTTCCTTAAACCAGAGCCTCTCTTTTCCTTTCTTCAGGTACACCTACCAGTCTGATGCTGGCTCTTCTTTTGCAGGTGTTTTTGAATGAGAAAAATATAGGACTTCTGGGTGATGGTATTAAGAAGTTGAACATTCCTAAAATCAGGGTATGTGATTCAAGAGTCTGGGTGCTTCCTTAGACCTCTGACTCAAATGTAGTCATAGCCTGGTCCTGAGATAGACTACCTCCTTCTTATGCCACTGTCCTTTGGTATTGTTCCTCATTTGGGTTTCCAGCAGCAAGTATTTAGGGCTATAAGCATAAATGCATCTCCTAGGTCCAAGTTTAGCAGAGCTGCAGCATACACGCTTCAGTGTGAATGGAAATTCGCCATTAGGCCCCGCGTCAATCATCTGCCCCTGGTTAGGTCTCTGATCAAAGGCACACAGTTGAGTCAAGGCAAATTCTTTCCCAAGGCAAGTCAACAGGGAAAACGAAAGATTGAGTTTGGAACAGGAACACAAAGAGTCCTCATGAGAGAGGAGGATTGTTGGGCTCTAGAGTAGAGCCCATTTTCTCCCATTTACTTGTACTTCCATCTGGGACTCAGAGAATAGAATGGGTTCTAGAGTAAAAACTCTACGTAGCCATATAGTCTCTGTGAACTGGTCTATCCCAAGCAGGAATGTCAACAACTACTTCTCCTCCTCCTTCTCCTCTTCCTCTTTCTCCTCCTCCTTTTCCCTCCGCCTCCTCACCCTCTCCTTTCTCCCTCCCTGTCCCTCTGCTTCTTCTTAGGAATGTCAACTTCTAAGAATCCTGGTGGAGAATCAAGGACGAGTCAATTTCTCATGGAAAATTCAAGATCAGCGGAAAGGTGGGAAACAGGCTGTAATCTCTCTTTATGGTTAATTGGATCCTATACTGAAGCAGTATTGCACTTGGGAGGAAAAAATGAAACCCTTGAGCAGTGGGATACCTAGGTCCCAGAACCAAAGACTCAAATTCCTTCCCTCTCCCTGGTCCTGCCTTCTCCTGGTAGGAAAGCACAGCAGTTAGGTTGGGTCTTGGCCTATTGTGGAGCAAGGCCCAGTCTCCCATTGGGAATTTCAGAGAAAGTTCTGATACTAAGTCGACGTTTTCTTGGTAATATGGAAACATACAAGAAACTTTCAGTTATAGCAGGCCAGACAAGTGTTTGCCCTCCTGTCTGAGCCATTGTCACAGGTGTATACAGTCTGCATTTCTTTTCCAGACACTGAAGAATGTCTGGTCCCTGTCCACATTCTTTCCTACCCCCACTTGCAGGATTAACTGGATCTGTCACTATTGATAACATTCCCTTGAACGGTTTTATTATCTACTCTCTGGAGATGACCATGAGCTTCTTTGAAAGGTATGTTCCTACTTAGGCCCAAAAAACACTTGGAGGGATCAGGGGGCTTACAGATGTCAAACTCTTCACTTTGTAGATGACGAGCCAAGATTCAGAAAAGTGAAATGATTTACCCCTGATTATAGAGTGCTTTAAGGTCAGGACTAGAACCCCAGAACTAGTCTTCTGACTCCTGATTTAATGCTTCTAATATATCTCCCTGATATCAGAATTCTGGGCTCTGAGTGGGGAAACGTTGGCACTAGAAAGAGGAGGAGGTCTTCTTCAAGTCTCTGCTCTTTCTCTAGGCTCCGCTCTGCCACCTGGAAGCCTGTCCGAAAAAACTATTCAGGCCCTGCCTTCTACCTTGGTACCTTGAAGGCTGGCTCTTCACCCAAGGACACTTTCCTGAGACTACTTGTAAGTGAGCTGACCTAATCTCTTCTGGTGTCCCAACCACCTATTCTTTTCAAAAGAGTTTTGAAGCAAAGCTATAGCGTTCCTGGAAGGAATACCTCCCTATTATATTTGTTTTTCTCTTTCTCATTTGGAACAAGACTTCTGACATTTCTTAATCTTCCTAATTTATCATTAGTAAAAAAATAATAAATCAGAACACAATGGAAAATTCGAAATAATAGGAAGCTATAGAATGAAAATGATGAAATTTCTCCTTCTAATCTATTCCCTATTCCAATTCCTTTCTATTTCTCAGGACTAAACATTACCCATGTCACTGGACCAAAATGGGCCACTCCTTGGTGAGTTATGGATAGAGACTATACCAAGTGGAGTTGCCTACAAGGAGATCATGAAAAATAATTTCCAAAGCCTGTCCCCATAAAGATGGGAAAGCAGACTCCTTTTAGTAGGGCTTGGAATGGATATTCGGAAGGGGTTTTAGCATTATCATGAGGTTGAGGTCACTTCTGGCAATTTTTGGTTCCTCTGCACAGGTGTGGTCCTCAAATATTTCTTTTTCTATTCCAGCAGTACCTTAGTTTCTTTCTAAAGGTAAGATTCACGGCTAGGTAGAAGCTTCTAGGAGTTTAGTTCCTAAAAGGTAATATTTACAGACAGAAACTTCTATAAGAAATTTCCTGAGTTCAGGGGATTAGGCTGGTGATATCAACAGTTTGTGCGATTTCATATATAACTTTGCCAAAACATATACACAATTATTCCATTAATAGGAAGGGGATCATTCCCTAAATTATATTCTGCAACTTTGGGGGGGCAGTAATTTTTACCTAGTATAGCTATATATATATATATATATATATATATATATATATATACACACACACACACACACACACACACACACACACATAATGACATAAATGCATGAAATATTATGCACAAAATAAATGAACAGTTCAATAAATTATCACAAAGTGAACACCATGTAATTTATTTGAAATAAAAAAATAAAATATTGTCAGCACCCCTCCCAATCACTGCCTCTCCTCTCTAACTATTATTGTGACTTCTAACACTCCAACTCAGTGCTTCTTCTTTAGACTTCATGTAAGTTGAACTGCCTTCCCCCCCTCCTCCACGTGGCTTTTTTTGTTGCTGAGATTCAGCCATTATATGATGTTGTGGGGCTTTATTCATTTTCATAGTTGTATAGGATTCCATTTTATAAAATACCATACTTTATTTAATCTTCAACCATCATTCTACTGTTGATAGACATTTATATTATTTCTAGTGTTTGACTACTATATATATATATATTTTTTATTTTTTAATATGAAATTTATTGTCAAATTGGTTCCCATAGAACACCCAGTGCTCCTCCCAACAGGTTCTTTCCTCAATGCCCATCACCCATTTTCCCCTCCCACCACGCCCCATCAACCCTCAGTTTGTTCTCAGTTTTTAAGGGTCTCTTATGGTTTGACTCCTTCCCTCTCTGTCCTTTTTTTCTCCCACCCTTCTACTCCCTCATGGTCTTCTGTTAAGTTTTCTCAGGATCCACATAAGAGTGAAAACATCAGGTAACTGTCTTTCTCTGTATGACTTGTTTCACTTAGCATAACACTCTCCAGCCCCATCCACATTGCTACAAAAGGCCATATTTCATTCTTTCTCTTTGCCATGTAGTATTCCATTGTGTATATAAACCACAACTTCTTTATCCATTCATCAGTTGATGGACATTTAGGCTCTTTCCATAATTTGGCTATTGTTGAAAGTGCTGCTATAAACATTGGGGTACAAGTGCCCCTATGCATCAGCACTCCTGTATCCCTTGGGAAAATTCCTAGCAGTGCTACTGCTGGGGCACAGTAGATCTGTTTTTAATTTTTTGAGGAACCTCCACATTGTTTTCCAGAGTGGCTGCACCAGTTTGCATTCCCACCAACAGTGCAAGAGGATTCCCATTTCTCCACATCCTCTCCAGCATCTATAGTCTCCTGATTTGTTCATTTTGGCCACCCTGACTGGCATGAGGTGGTATCTGAGTGTGGTTTTGATTTGTATTTCCCTGATGAGGAGCGACGTTGAGCATCTTTTCATGTGCCTGTTGGCCATCTGGATGTCCTCTTTAGAGAAGTGTCTATTCATGTTTTCTGCCCATTTCTTGACTGGATTATTTGTTTTTCGGGTGTGGAGTTTGGTGAGTTTCTTTATAGATTTTGGATACTAACCCTTTGTCCGATATGTCATTTGCAAATATCTTTTCCCATTCTGTTGGTTGCCTTTTAGTTTTGTTGATTGTTTCCTTTGCAGTGCAGAAGATTTTATCTTCATGAGGTCCCAATAGATCATTTTTGCTTTTAATTCTTTGCCTTTGGAGATGTGTCAAGTAAGAAATTTCTGCGGCTGAGGTCAGAGAGGTTTTTTTCCTGCTTTCTCCTCTAGGGTTTTGATGGTTTCCTGTCTCACATTCAGGTCCTTCATCCATTTTGAGTTTACATTTGTGAATGTGTAAGAAAGTGGTCTAGTTTCATTCTTCTGCATGTTGCTGTCCAGTTCTCCCAGCACCATTTTTTAAAGAGACTGTCTTTTTTCCATTGGATATTCTTTCCTGCTTTGTCAAAGATTAGTTGGCCACACATTTGTGGGTCCAATTCTGGAGTCTCTACTCAATTCCATTGGTCTATTTGTTTTTGTGCCAATACCATACTGTCTTGATGATTACAGCTTTGTAGTAGAGGCTAAAGTCTGGAATTGTGATGCTTCTCGCTTTGGTCTTCTTCTTCAATATTACTTTGGCTATTCAGAGTCTTTTGTGGTTCCATACAAATTTTAGGATTGCTTTTTCTTTTTCTTTTTTTAATTTTTTTTAACGTTTATCTATTTTTGAGACAGAGAGAGACAGAGCATGAACGGGGGAGGGGCAGAGAGAGAGGGAGACACAGAATTGGAAGTAGGCTCCAGGCTCTGAGCCATCAGCCCAGAGCCCAACACGGGGCTTGAACTGATGGACCGTGAGATCGTGACCTGAGCTGAAGTCAGGTGCTTAACCGACTGAGCCACCCAGGCGCCCCTAGGATTGCTTTTTCTAGCTTTGAGAAGAATGCTGGTGCAATTTTGATTGGGATTGCATTGAATGTGTAGATAGCTTTGGGTAGTATTGACATTTTGACAATATTTATTCTTCCAATCCATGAGCACAGAATGTTTTCTCCATTTCTTTGTATCCTCTTCAATTTCCTTCATAAGCTTTCTATAGTTTTCAGCATACAGAGCTTTTACATCTTTGGTTAGGTTTATTCCTAGGTGTTTTATGACTCTTGGTTCAGTTGTGAATGGGATCAGTTTCTTTATTTGTCTTTCTGTTGCTTCATTATTGGTGTATAAGAATGCAACTGATTCTGTACATTAATTTTGTATCCAGTGACTTTGCTGAATTCATGTATTGGTTCTAGCAGACTTTTGGTGTAGTCTGTCGGGCTTTCCATGTAGACTATCATGTCATCTGCAAAAAGGAAAAGGTTTACTTCATCTTTGCCAATTTTGATGCCTTTGGTTTCCTTTTGTTGTCTGATTGCTGATGCTAGCACTTCCAACACTATGTTAAACAACATTGGTGAGAGTGGATATCCCTGTCGTGTTCCTGATCTCAGGGAAAAAGCTCTCAGTTTTTCCCCATTGAGGATGATGTTAGCTGTGGGATTTTCATAAATGGCTTTTATGATGTTTAAGAGTGTTCCTTCTATCCGACTCTCACTCTCTCAAGTGTCTTTATGAAGAAAGATGCTGAATTTTGTCAAAGGCCTTTTCTGCATTGATTCACAGGATGATATGGTTCTTATCTTTTCTTTTATTAATGTGATGTATCACATTGATTGATTTGCGAATGTTGAACCAGCCCTGCATCCCAGGAATGAATCCCACTTGATCATGGTGAATAATTCTTTTTATATGCCGTTGAATTCGATTTGCTAGTATCTTATTGAGAATTTTGGCATCCATATTCATCAGGGATATTGGCCTGTAGTTCTCTTTTTTTACTGGGTCTCTGTCTGGTTTAGGAATCAAAGTAATACTGGCTTCATAGAATGAGTCTGGAAGTTTTCCTTCCCTTTCTATTTTTTGGAATAGCTTGAGAAGGATAGGTTTTATCTCTGCTTTACACGTCTGGTAGAACTTCCCTGGGAAGCCATCTGGTCCTGGACTCTTATTTGCATCTGGTCCTGGACTCTTATTTGTTGGGAGATTTTGGATAACCGATTCAATTTCTTTGCTGATTATGGGTCTGTTCAAGTTTTCTATTCCTTCCTGTTTGAGTTTTGGAAGGGTGTGGGTGCTTAGGAATGTGTCCATTTCTTCCAGGTTGTCCGGTTTGTTGGCATATAATTTTTCATAGTATTCCCTGATAATTGTTTGTATCTCTGAGGGATTGGTTGTAGTAACTCCATTTTCATTCATGATTTTATCTATCTGGGTTCTCTCCCTTTTCTTTTTGAGAAGCCTAGCTAGAGGTTTATCAATTTTGTTTTTGTTTTGTTTTGTTTTGTTTTTTTCAAAAAACCAACTCTTGGTATCATTGATCTTCCTACTGTTTTTTAGGTTCTATATTGTTTGTTTCTGCTCTGATATTTATTATTTCTATTCTGCTGGGTTTGGGGTGTCTTTGCTCTTCTGATTCTATTTCCTTTAGGTGTGCCGTTAGATTTTATATTTGTGATTTTTCTTGTTTCTTGAGTTAGGCCTGGATTGCAATGTATTTTCCTCTCAGGACTGCCTTTCCTGCATCCCAAAGCTTTTATATTGCTCTATTTTCATCTTCATTTGTGCCCATGTATTTTCAAATTTCTTCTGTAATTGCCTGGTTGACCCATTCATTCTTTAGTAGGGTGTTCTTTAACCTCCATGCTTTTGGAGGTTTTCCAGGCGTTTTCCTGTGGTTGATATCAAGTTTGATAGCATTGCAGTCTGAAAGTGTGCATGGGATGATCTCAACTCTTTTATACTTATGA